CAGTTCAGGCTGGCCTTGAGCTCACTTTGCAGCCCAGGCTGGTCTCAAACTCACAATGATCCTCCTGCCTCAGCTTCCCAAGTGCTGAGATTACAGGCAGGCACCACCATGCCTGGCCATTTATTTTTATTTACTTGCTATTTTATTTTATTTTTTTGATACTGGGAATCAAACTCAGGACCTTGCACTTACCACTCAGGCACTTTTACCTCTGAGCTACATCCCTGGCATTTTTTTTTTTTTTCCCCCTGGCCTTTTATTTTTGAGACAGGGTCTTGCTATGTAGTCCAGGCTGGTCTTGAACTCATTATGTAGTCCAGGCTGATCTCAAATTCACAGTGAGAGGCTGGGGATTTAGCTCACAGCGGCACAGCACCTGCCCGGCAAGCGCAAGGTCGTGAGTTCAATTCCTGGTACTGGAAAAAAAAAAAATCAAATTCACAGCAATCATCTTGCCTCAGCCTCCAGAATGCTGGAATTAGAGACATCTGTCAGTACACCTGCCTGCGTATGCATTTAAAATGTTAGCCTGGGCCAGGGTAGCAACACACACCGGGGCAGGAGAATCTGAAGTTTGAGGATGGGGGGCAGAGCATCAGGCAGGGAGGGGGTGCAGTACAGGCTGAGGGAGTCACACAGGACAGGAGTGGGGGCGCTGGGCACAGGGAAGGGCAGGCTGGTGAGTGGTGGGGGGTGGCTGAGCAAGGCAGGCCCCAGAGGACAGGCGAGGGTTGCCACGCCGTCGCAGGAGTGACTTGGAGGGAAAATCGGGGTTCTGAGGCTCCTCGCTCAGCTGCTCTCTGGTCCCGCCCAGCACATACCTCCGCAGAAGACCCGAGCCCCAACACAGGCCCCGAGGAGAGTCGCTGGGGCCTGAGCAGTCTGAGGGGGCTGATAGAGCCCATGGTGACCAGGACCAGAGAGAGGTGGCAGTGGCTTTGGTGAGCAGGCGCTGGGGTGGGTGGGGAGGGCCAGCAGCCCGGAGCCCCGGGCCTGAGGGAGGGGGCTGGGCGTGCAGCCCCGGGTCACAGGGTGTAGATAAAGGAGCAGGAGCCCCTGGTATGCCTGGGGGAGCTGGGGTCTCAACTGCCCTGTCCCTTCCACAGGGGCTCTGGCACCTTCCGAGGCTTCATACAGACCTACTATGAGGACCACTTGAAAGACCTGGGTCCCCGCACCCAGGCGTGGCTCACCAGCTCCAAGGACAGCCTCCTGAACAAGACCCTCAGCCTGTGCCCCAGGCTGCTCTGCAAGAACCAGGCCCAGGACTAGCGTGCTCCTGCCGCCACCTGCCCACAATAAAGATTCCCTACCTGTGCCAGTCTGGATGGATCCACTCTTCCCCCTCCCCACTCACACCTGTGGCTTCAGGTGTGGAAGCAGGGACACCTGGCCAGGGAGGGACACTAGGGGCTTTGGGAGCAGAATCAGAGAGATAGCACACACCACATACGTGTGCGCTTGTGCACACACACGCGTGCGCACACACACTATGCAGTTCAGGCTGGCCTTGAGCTTATTTTGTAGCTCAGGCTGGCCTCAAACTCACAGTGATCCTCCTGCCTCAGCCTCCCAAGTGCTGGGATTACAGGTGTGCACCAGGACACCCGACCTAAGGGCAACAAACTTTAAAGTGCTTCAGTGCGAAGTGGTAAACCTGGCTGGGTGTGGTGGTGCACACCTGTGTAATCCCAACACTTGGGAGGCTGAGGCAGGAGGATCGCTGTGAGTTTGTGGCCAGGCTGGGCTGCATAGTGAGACCCTGTCTCAAAAAAAAAGAAAGAGAAAAGGAATGGGAAGGTTGGAGAGCTGGTAGGGTGAACAGTCCCCAGGGTGCCCCCTCTCTCTCTGCCCTGATTCTCAGCACATGGAGTCACCACACCCCATTCCTGGTGGGGCATAGAACCCCCAACCCCTGTCCCCAGCACTGCCCCTTCACTCTGCGAGTGGAGGTTCCCACAGGTCTGGCCCGGAGGGGGACATCCCTGCCCCTCCTGCCCCTCCTGCCCTCCCCCGCCCCGGCAGCTCTGTTGGCCAGGACTTTGGCCGAGGACAGCGGTGGCCGCGTGTTGGGAGGTGGGTCCAGCGCTATAAAACCTGTGCGCGCTGGGAGCGGGAGAGGACGCCTGCCCGAGCCCCAGTTCGGTAAGACGGGGGTGGGGGAGGGGCGGGGGCCGGGGCTCGGCGGGAAATGGCAAGAGACTCCTGTCTTGGAGTCACAGAATTTAGAATCGCATCGTTGTCCAGCCTGGTCCTCCCTGGGTCCGTGGGTCTCAGCCTCTCTCCCCTGACGCTGCTCACCTCTGATGTGCGCGAGCTCTGTACCCTCGTTGGTCTCAGAGCACCTCCCCGCCAGGGCCTGGGAGGGGTCCAGGAGCAATCAGATGCTGGAGAGCAGCACAGCGCAGGTGTCACGGGGCACCGGGAATTCAAGGTCGGGAGCGCTGGGTTTGGCTGTGGTTCTGCTCAGTACAAGGTGGGGCCTTCTTGTGTCCCCGCTGGGCCCGAGCTGCGGCTTCTTGAGTAAATGCATGAATGAGTGGATGTCAGAATTAAGATGTTGGAAGTAGGTGTGGTGGTACGGGGCCTGTGATCCTAGGACTCAGGAGGCTGAGGCAGGGGAATCACCACAAGTTCGAGGCCAGCCTGGGCTACATAATAAGACTTTGTCTCGAAAAATAAAAAATGCTGATGGTGGTGGAGCATACCTGTAATCTCAATTTCTCAGGAGGCTGAGGCAGGAGGATAGCATGTTCAAGGCCTGCCTGGGCAACTGAGCAGGACACTCGCTCAAAATTTTAAAAAAATAGAGCCAGGTGTGGTAGTACACACCCATAATCCCAGCACTTTGGAGGTTGTGGTAGGAGGATCACCAAGGCCAGCCTGGGCTACACGGTGAGACCCTGTCTCAAAAAGCCAAAAAAAAAAAAAAGAAGGCCAAACAAATAAATAAATAAATAAATAATAAAATAAAATGAGCCAGGGAGGTAGCTCGGTGGCAGAACATCCCTGGACTCAATCCCCTATACCCTGCTCCAAAAAATTAATATAAATAAATTGTCAAAATTAGGAATGGAATGGTAGAATGTTAGACTTGGAGGCCCAGGGAGGACACCTCATTCCAGGCAGCGCTGGGGGACGCAGGTCAGGCAGGAGGGGGAGATGGAGCAGATCTCAGCCCCTACCCAGAGGGGCAGGACCCAGCAGCAGGTGGCCCAAGTGACCCTGCCTCACAACCTGTGCGTTCCAGGTCGGCGACGCCATGGACACCCGGTTCCTCCTGCCCCTGTGTCTCGTCCTCCTGCTGCTAGGATGTGGTGAGCAGGGTCTCTGAGGAGGGACGTGCCTCGAGCGTCTTCCTGGCAAGGCCTTCTGATCCTGCCTCTACCGCCTCCTCCTCCACACCTGCGTTCCCACCCCACGGCCCCGTCAGCTCCCTCACACTGACCCTTTACCCCTGCTCTCCTGCAGAGGTTCAGGGCACCCATCCGACCGAGCAAGACGAGCCCCCCAGCCCAGCCCTGCTGGCCCAAGTGCAGGAGGCCCTCTCCATGTACTGGGACACTGCCAAGGCGGCTGCCCAGGGCCTATACGAGAAGACATATCTGCCCACCATGGACGAGAAGATCAGGTAGGCCTGTGCCTCTGGGAGATGACTTCATCCGGGCCTCGAGAGTCCATGCTCAGCCCCCTCCCTCAGACCCAGGGTCCAGGCCCAGCCTCCTCCCTCAGACCCGGGTCCAAGCCTCTTTCCTGCTACCCCTCCATCCTTTCTCTCCAGGGACATGTACAACAAAGGCTCGGCTGCCATCAGCACTTACACAGGCATCTTTACTGACCAAATCATGACCATACTCCAGGGAGAAGAATGACAGCCAGGAGAGGGGGGATAATCCTAGGTCCTGGCACCACCCACAGGGTCCCCGGACTGCCCAAGGTGGGACTAAGCTCCTCCATCCCAGCACGTCTCAGCTACCTGCCTCCAACTCTGGCCTGAATCTTATTAATGAATGAATAAATAAAAACATAAGCTGTCTTTTGTTCCCTTTGATGTGGCTGCTTTTCTGGGGCCTCAGGAATCAACATGGAGGGACAGAGTCAGTCCAACCAACATTTTAATGAGCACCTCCTGGGTGTAGGGACCCCTAACCAGAAGCCTGGTTCCTGGGAACAAAGCAGAGGTAGATATGGACAATCAATAATCAGAGGCACAGGGGGCTGGGGATTTAGCTCAGCGGCAAAGCGCCTGCCTGGCAAGCGCAAGGTTGTGAGTTCAGTTCCCGGTACCGGAGAAAAACCAAAAAAAAAAAAAATAATCAGAGGCACAAGGGGTCACCTCTCTACCACATACGTGTGTGCTTGTGCACACACACGCGTGCGCACACACACTATGCAGTTCAGGCTGGCCTTGAGCTCACTTTGTAGCCCAGGCTGGTCTCAAACTCAATGATCCTCCTGCCTCAGCCTCCCAAGTGCTGGGATTACAGGCATGGGCCGCCACACCCGGCCCTCGCAGTGGCCTTTGAAGCATGCAGACCCTGGGGTGACACTTTTTTTTTTTAATTTTTATTTTTTGGTCTGGTTGAGACAGGGTTTCGCTATGCAGTTCAGGCTGGCCTTGAGCTCACTTTGTAGCCCAGGCTGTCCTCGAACTTGCAGCGATCCTCCTGCCTCAGCTTCCTGAGTGCTAGGATTACGGGCGTGCACCACTACATCCGGCTGTTTTTTTTGTTTTTTTTTTTAATTTTCTGTCTTTTTTGAGACAGAGTCTCACTATGCAGTTCAGGCTGTCCTTGAGCTCACTTTGTAGTCCAGGCTGGTCTTGAACTCAACAATCCTCCTGCCTCAGCCTCCCAAGTGCTGGGATTGTAGGCATGTACCACTATGCCTGGCCATGTTTGTTTATTTTTACACTGCTGGGTATGGAACACAGGGCCTGACGCATGCTAGGCATGTGCTGTATTACTGAGCTCTACCCTAGCTTTTGGGCTGACACTTTGAAATCTGCCACCTCTGAGTTTTCTGACACAGTCCTGTGACAGAGACAATGCTGATGCTCACAAGTCCCTGTCAAGCTGAGGAAGTCAGTGCCCAGGGTAGCTGAGACCTATGAAGACAGACGGCTAAAGCCTGGGCTCCTTGACAACTCCAATCTTTCACCTCACATGCATTTATTGTGCCCTACCAAGCCCTGGGGACACAGCAGAGGAGACAGACCTGTCCTCCCCTGGCCAGTTGGGGCCTGGTGCAGCTGCAAACAGTGATTGTGACGCTGGATCTGTAGCAGGTTTTGTCGTCTCTTCTCCCCTTCTGTGCAGTACTAATAATGCTTCATTGAGAGGCCACAGAGAAAGCCTGGCCCGCAGGGAGCAAGAAGACAGCTGGAGAGCATTTCAGACCACGGAGGCCATGAGCAGGAGCAAGGGGAAGAGACCCAGGCCGGGGTATGACCACTCTCAATAGCTAGTACTGGGGCCCAGGATGGATCCCGAGACGACCAGGGGACACTGTGCGCCAGCAGGTGTGTGTGAGCAGGAAGGTACTGACTGGGCCCCGGGTCAGGTGGGGTGGTTAGCCAGTGGAAGAGGGTACAGCCAGGGATACAGCTCAGCGGCACAGTACAAGGTCTCAGTTCGATTTCTGGTACCAAAAAAAAGGGAGGGGGGCAGGGGAAGAGGGTATTTAGCAGTAAGGAACAGCAGATAAAAAGTATAGGGCTGGGCTTTCTGGTACATGCCCGTAATCCTAGGATCACTGAGAGTTCAACGCCAGCCTGCGCTACATAGTGAGTTCTTTTTTTTTTTTTTTTGTATCAGGAATTGAACTCAGAACCTTGTGCTTGCCAGGCAGGCACTTGTACTGCTGAGCTATCTTCCCATCCTACCTAATGAGTTCAAGGCCAGCCAGAACTATATAGCAAGACCCTGTCTCAAATAATAAAAGCATAGGGCCATACCTGCCTGTAATTCCAGCTACTAGGGAGGCTGAAGCAGGAGGATTACAAGCTCATGGCCAGGCTGGACTACATAGTGAAACCTTATCTGACAAAACAAAACAAACAACGAATAATAAACAGATAAGTAAGCTGATGTAGCTCAGCTGTAGAGCACCCATGGGTTCAATCCTCTGTACTGGAAAAAAAAAAAAAAAGAAAAAGCCCAGGATGCACAAATAAACAGAGGTTCCGTGGCCCGAGGGAGGACGGTGCAGGGCCCACGGGCGCAGGGTCTGCCGGGCTGAACCAGTGGAGGGTCTTCGGGCCCCCACGGGCCTGGGCGGGGCTGGGGAACGCGGCCTGGCCGTCTCCTGATCCGCTTGGCGTTAACTCTAACTGGTCTTTCAACACTCCTGGGGCACCTTTCCCAGTACTGAGGCCGGGCAGCAGGCACCCAGTAGAAAACAGGGGCCCGGGAGGGGCTGTGGGCAATGCCCCAAAGTCCCCAGGGCCTGGGAAGAATCGAGGTTGCCAGGCCCCCGGAGGGGGAGACCCTGCGGGAACAATCCCTGCTCTGTCCACTTGCTTCCCACGGACTCCGGCCAAACCAAACCACCGCCCCGGCCAGCGCGGCTTCCAACCAATCCGGGCACCGTTCGCAGACCCCTCCTCCCTTTCTCAGACCCCCACTCCGCTCCCCGGAGGACCCGAGTCCCGGCCCCCAGACTCCTCCTTCCCAGAGCTCAGCGGCTTGGACCCTAACTCCTCCTCCCTTAGACTCCAATTCCTTCTCAGGACCGAGAAGCACATCCCCAGCCGGGTGCTCTGAGAATCTGAACTCGCAGCCCCTAGTTGGTGGTGAGCGCCCTCTAGTGGATGACAGAGAGGTCCCGTCCTGCGGTTCACCTGCTAAGGATGCCATTGGTTGGTCCCTGGGTCCCAGCGGAGCAGGGAACTCAACTTTGAAAGGGCCCTGTGCAAGGTCACAGACTAGCAAGAGACCCTCAGGTCCAGGAGACCTGTACCCCAGTGGGCGAGGCCTGGAGGGCGGACTGGGACATTGTGTAACTAGAGCTGGGAGGCAAAGGTGAAGCCACGGGTTGCGCTTCAAACGCCCTCCCTGCCTGGCTTTCTGTGGTCCTGTGCTGGAGTTTGCACATGTAATTTTTTTCTGTTTGTTTTTGGGGATGTTTCTGTTTGTTTCTTGCCTCCTAAGCAAGCCCCCTACCACCGAGCCACACTCCTAACCTTAATTTTGTTCCCCCTCCTCCAGTGTTAGGGACTGAACCTCGGGCCTTTGCACAGAGCTACATCACCAGCCCGTTTTTATTTCGAGACAGGGTCTCACTAAGTCACCAGGTTTCCTAGGCTGGGCTTGAACTTGTGATTCTGCTGCCTCAACCTCCCAGAATTCTGGGATTACAGACGTGCACCACCACATCCAGTTGCCTAATTCCATACTTCTTAAAAAGAAGGTAACAAAATATATAAGGTTCAAATCCATAAAGTCATTGAAATCTCTCTCTGGGGGACTTAATCCTATGGTCACTTCATCCATGAATTTAGAGAGTGGGCCTCTGGCCAAGGCATGGTGGTTCACACATGTAATCCCAGCACTATCGAGGCTGAGGCAGGAGAATTGATGCAAGTTTGAGGCCAGCCTGGGTTACAAAGTGAGTTTAAGGCCAGCCTATACAGCATAGTGAAACCCTGTCTCAAAAGACACACACACACACACACACACACACACA